AAATAAAAATAAAATAAAATAACATCGAAAGTTTCAACAGTGTTGCAATGCACCAATTGTTGTGTAATTAATGATGTTGCCTTCACCAGCTCTGTTAAGTCAAAAACCACAAATTGCGTCATGGGACAAATATATGTTTGATGATTACGTCAGAGGTAAAGGTAGAGCTTTATCGGGTCTTCAGTGGCTGGATATAGACTTTTATTCTATGCTCATTTGATTATTATTATTATCATTATTATCATTGCTATTATTATTGAAAACATATTGAGCATGTTACTGTATTCCACCTCAAAGGCACACAATGCGCGTTACACATGACATGTATACATAACATTTACTTTTCTTGATTTTCAGCAAGTTTTACTTTATTAGTAGGTACATTATACCCGCCGTTGACGGTATAAAGACAAACAGTCCTCTATAAAAGTTGAAAAATATTTTATGCACCTAAACTGACGCTACCACTACAGCTCATTCATGTGTGGTGGTTCCTTTTGGAACCCCCCCCCCCCCCTTTAGATTGAGAGTGTCCGCAACTTTTTGCAGTTTACTTTTCTCCTTTGGTACAAAGCAGAAAGGCTGGTCATTATATGAGTACGTTGGAAACATGAGGAAGCCTGTTATTCTGTTAAACTGATTACATTCAGCGTGATTCCCCAGGAAGTTGGATCGATGCACGAAGCGCGCGTGGGCTAGCTGGTTACAAATGACCCCTAATGCCCCTATTTCACACAGACCACGAATCCCACGAATCGCCAGGAATTGACAAATTTCAGGATTCGTGAGGATTCGTGAGATTTTGCCAANTGTGATCCCGCTGTTCGCTTTAATATCATAGGTAAACTTAATCTTAGTATAAAACAAACTCTAAGCTCCGTGTCGCGTTCTCAAACTCTGCTTTCTGTACATCATGAACTTTACCGTTCATGATAGAAAATGGTCGGGGACTGGGGTTGCGTGGGATGAAATACGGCACCCGGATTATCGATAGGGCTATGTCCATCCGCTCTGGACCTCTCCGTGACAAGATTGAAAGTTTCCATCTGATCGTATCGTATTAACGAAGCTGCCATGGCTCCGTGGTAATGTTGCTGTCCTGGATGTTTGTATTTCTTTTGCCGGAATTGAATTTTGAAAATTGCGATTGGTTACTATAAGAGGAAATTCGTACGTATAGAGGGTGGGCGGGTCTGTCACGGCGCAGTCGGTCGCGTGCATGGACGCATATTAAGCAACCATGGTCTCGCAAAGTCACGAGTTCGAACCTCGGATGAGGCACGTCAGTCCAACACGACAACGACCGGGCCCCTCAATCGGGATGTAGAGAGAACGAGTGTGGGCTCTCGTGGGTCCTAGCCAATTACTTTTTGCATTAAAATATGGTATACTTTAGAAAGTTTTCATTAAGTGATCGATTTAAAACAAACATATTGCTGGTCATAAGCATAAAATTTGCGAAGTCAATAATATTTCCTTTTTCTTTAATTAAAAGTCTTATACTGACGTGGGAAGTACTGATCGTTGATCTTCGTCCTTTATTACGACACAGATCTTGAGCTATAGCTAACTTCGTATCTACGGTCCTCTCCGGTGTCACGGTCTTCCTTATGCACTGCATTTCATCAAAATATGCCATTTTCTCGGTGGGCTTATCAGAGAGAAAATGTTTTTTTTTTTTTTTTTTTTACAAAAGTTGCGCTGTCTCAGTTGCTTTTAACAGGCATACATTTTGCCTTTTCATGCCCCCCCCCCTTCCCTATCTTGGGCCTTTGCTTCTCAAAACTGTTCATATGTTCATACAGTACCCGGGCCAAGTTCGCAGTCGACATTTCAAAGAGTAAAGACTACTCATTGTTGAAACCGCCGAGGTGTGAACAGCTGTGGATCTCATCGTGCTCTGTTACGTCAAAAATAAAACCAAACGTTATCTCAGTGCAAAACAAAAGGAAAATAAATGCATCTGAAGTCATCTAACTAGGAACGTTTCGAGCAAGCCTATCAATGAAAGACGATAGAACTTAAATTGATTCAGCAGCTGTTACGGTGAAACAGCACCTCGTACCATCTGTTAACCGTGTTCAGCAGAATTACCCATTGGAATGTTTTTTTTTAACTCCCTCTTCTTAGGGTCTCGCTAAAAGTAAAACACGCCTGTTGTTAACAACATTTGATCTTGTTGTTCTCTTTAATATCATAGGTTAACTTAATCTTAGCATAAAACAAACTCCGACTTCCGTGTCGGGTTCTGAAACACGAAGCTGCCATGGCTCAGTGGAAACTTTGCTGTCTTGGATGCAGGCAGACACTCGTACGCTGGTTCGAGTCCGAACATATTGTGTGTCTTTTTTGCCAGAATTAATTTTTGAAAATTGCGTTTAGTTACTATAAGAGGAAACTCGTCACGGCGCAGTTGGTAGCGTGCATGGATGCAAATGAAGCAACCAAAGCGTCACCAACAATGGTAATGCAATGTCACGAGTTCGAATCTCGGATGAGGCTCGTCAGTCCAACACGACAACGACCGGGCCCCTCAATCGGGATGTAGAGAGAACGAATGTGGGCTCTCGTGGGTCCTAGCAAATTACCTTTTGCATAAAAATACGGTATACATTAGAAAGTTTACATTAAATGATCGATTTAAAACGAACATATTGCGGGTCATTAGAATAAAGTCTGCGTCGTCAATAATATTTCCTTTCTCTTCAGTTAAAAGTCCTTAGATTGGTGCCACAAATCTTGTACTTGAATTGAGCTACAGCTAACTCCGTATGTTCTGCATTTCATCAAAATGTGCTATCTTCTAGGTGGGATTATCAGAGAGAACATTTTTATTTATTTTTATTTTCTACAAAAGCCTCTGTTGCTTTTCACAAGGACACATTTTGTCCTTTCATGCCCCTCCTTTCCATTCTTGCACCCTTGCTTCTTAAGACTGTTCATGTGTTCATACAGTACCCGGGGCAAGTTCGCAGTCGACATTCGAAAGAGTAAAGACTACTCAATACTAAAACCGCCCAGGTGCGAACAGCTGTGGGCCTCATCGCACTGTGTATCGTCAAAGGTGAAAGCAAACGTTATCTCAGTGCAAAACAAAATGAAAATAAAGGTATCTGAAGTTATCTGACCAGGAACGTTCCGAGCAGGCCTATCGATGAAAGCCAACGAACTTGAATCGATTCAGTAGCTTTCCCGGTATAACAGCACGTCATACCACCTGTTAACCGTGTTCAGCAGAAAAATGATATCTTTATTTATAATTGCAAAATATGTTTTATTCAAAATTTCCATCGATGCAATTGCTTATATGGAAATCGCACCAGTTATTACACATTTGAATGTTTTTTTCCTCTCTTCTTAGGGTCTCGCTAAAACTAAAACACGTCTGTTGTGAACCGCCTTTGATCCCATTGCACTCTTTAATGTCATGGGTAAAGCCAAAATCAATCTTAGTTTAAAACAAACTCCGAGCTCCGTGTTGGGTTCTCAAACACTCGTGGCTTCCTGTACATCATGAGTTTTACCGTTCATGATAACCCATGGATTCTCGATTGGGATAGCAGATACACACATGTTCGTCCAACCTGGCCCTCTCCGTGGCAAGGTTGAAAGTTCCCATCGGATCATTCCGTATCAACGAAGCTGACGTGGCTCCGTGGTAACTTTGCTGTCTCGTTTACCGACAGACACTGGTACGCTGGTTCGAGACCCAGCTAGTGTAGTACTTTTTATTTTCCAGAATTAAATTTTAGAAATTCCCATTGGTTACTATAAGAGGAAACTCGTAAGTACGGAGGGTGGGCGGGTCTGTCACGGTGCAGTCGGTAGCGTGCTTGGATGCAAATGAGATGCCCAAAGCGCCACCAACCATGGCAACGCAAAGTCACGAGTTCGAATCCCGGATGAGGCACGTCAGTCCATCACGACAACGACCGGGCCCTTGAATCGGGACCCGGATGCCACGAGAACGAATCTGGGCTCTCCTGGGTCCTAGCAAATTACCTTTTGCATAAAAATACGGTATACTTTAGAAAGTTTACATTAAATGATCGATTTAAAACGAACATATTGCTGGTCATTAGAATAAAGTCTGCGTCGTCAATAATATTTCCTTTCTCTTCAGTTAAAAGTCCTTAGATTGGTGCCACAGATCTTGTACTTGAATTGAGCTACAGCTAACTCCGTATGTTCTGCATTTCATCAAAATGTGCTATCTTCTAGGTGGGATTATCAGAGAGAACATTTTTATTTATTATTTTTTTCTACAAAAGCCTCTATTGCTTTTCACAAGGACACATTTTGTCTTTTCATGCCCCTCCTTTCCATTCTTGCACCCTTGCTTCTTAAGACTGTTCATGTGTTCATACAGTACCCGGGGCAAGTTCGCAGTCGACATTCGAAAGAGTAAAGACTACTCAATACTAAAATCGCCCAGGTGCGAACAGCTGTGGGCCTCATCGCACTGTGTATCGTCAAAGGTGAAAGCAAACGTTATCTCAGTGCAAAACAAAAATGAAAATGAAGGCATCTGAAGTTATCTGACTAGGAACGTTCCGAGCAGGCCTATCAATGAAAGCCAACGAACTTGAATCGATTCAGTAGCTTTCCCGGTATAACAGCACGTCATACCACCTGTTAACCGTGTTCAGCAGAAAAATGATATCTTTATTTATAATTGCAAAATATGTTTTATTTAAAATTTATCTCAGTGCAAAACAAAATGTGTTTCTTTTGCTGCATAGAACAGAACGGTAGAGCAGCCTGCTTTTTAATTTTGTTCCTACCACTCAGTAATAATGTTTTAATTTGAAAATATTATGACTTAAAAGGACAGTACTGGTTAAACTCACAATTTCCCCCATTTAGGTAAAAAACGTATTTCATGCCACTGATACCGTTGAATGAATTCAAAGATAGCTTCAGTGTTCTTTTTCACATGTAACTATAAAATAATAACAAAATGAAATAAAAATGATTTTTAAATCAATATATAAAAATACTTAAAAGATATAAATTGTGTGTTTTATTGATATGAAATTTAATGGACTAATACAATTTTTAATACAAGACTTACATAACCTTTCAGCATGTATTTCTATCTCAACATTTATGAATTACAAAAATATACTCAAGCATGTTTTCAAGTTTATCATGAAAAAATACATGGCCATTCATAATAATCAATTTAATAGCCAGAGAGAAAAATATAAAATATACAGAGCATATATTGATGGGATTTTTTTCTTCATAAATTAATTAACTTAAATATATCAACAGGGTCTTTCATAACAGTTGACTAACTTCTGAAATGTAAATAAATGATATGCTTCATGAATTCAAACTACATCTACAGCTCATCCCTGGGACGTGGCTCCTCTTGGATTGTGCTGCTGCCTTGTGGCAGGTTGAGAATGTTTGCAACTTTTTGCAGTTTACTCTTCTCCATTTCTAAAAGTTCTTTTCTAGTAAGGTAACTTTTGTCACTTGAGTTAAGAATTTGAAACACTTCATCTGCATCTGGAAAATCGTCCATCTGAAAATATCAAGAGGGGAAGACTAGAGTTGTCTGTATGTAGCTCTCTTTCACATGTCACTATTACTGAAAATAATAAACCTTAAAAAACTAATAATTAAGAACAATGGAGTGATAATTGTCATCTGATTGTAAAAAGCTGATCAACTCAATAAAAAATCATACAAACAAACTAACAAACAAATAAATAAATAACCTGAGGCCATTTCTTTCTCAGCAGTTCCCCACGTCATTTCAACTTTAGAAGTAAGTATTAATTTTGAAAATAAGAAAAACCGTGAGAAAAAAAGGAAGAAGGAAAAGTTACTAGTATGGAGTACCTGTGCCATAACTTCTTCATAAAATGCTGCCCAGCGCTCATATGAGAGAGCTGAATCCATTCTTAGTAAAGCCAGAAGATGATGCCGTAGACTTTCTGAATTCAAACGAGCATTAGAAAGTTGCTGAAAAGTAAAAGAATAAATTAAGATAAAATCTCAAGACTTTTTACTTTAATTAAGTAGCCAAAGACCAATTTGGCTAACCAAAGAAACCATTACAGGGCAAACACTAGTAACCTTTTGAATGAGAACTTCTGGAACTAAATAAGACAGTTAACAGTAACTTGGTAATAAAATGCTGCCAGCATTATCTTTCTACAAATTAAATGCATGATAAACAACTCGATAATAACTTTTAGACTGGGTTTCCATACTTATATCAATCCATCTAGATAGACCTAACTCCCTGGGAGTTCACACTAAATTGCTACCAGCTCAAGAGGCTTAAATGTCTGTCACACTTACCAAATCAGCTAGGGGTAAAGATAATTACCCCCTAACAGCCTTACTTTGCGTGACAGACATTTAAGTCGGTTACATTGATAGCAATTTGGTGAGATTCCCCAGGGAGATAGATCGATCCAAAGATCTGTGGGAATGGTCCCTTAGTTAGCAAATGACTTATCTCTATATAAATACACTGTAGTACAGGGGCAGATTTAGGCCGTCTTCTGGGTCTTCCGGAAGACGGTCAGATTTTCAAGTTTACATTGACGGGTATCTAATTTTTTCTTTGGAAGACGGTAAAAAAATGGAGGATAAATCAACAAATATAATATGGAAGACTGTCAGAAAATATCTTTGGATCCGCCCCTGGTAGTAACACTATAATTAATTATTTATTCAAATATAATCAGCATTTTAGAAGCATGAGACTAGTGTCCTGGTAATAACAGTAATAATTATGGAAAATCATTCTAAAATATTAAGATGTCAAAAGAAGAAAAAAAAAAGACTGTGGCCAAACACTGAACCTTGTCTCCAGCGAAGTAGGCCCATGTAAAGGTGACCTCAGACAGAGGAATGTCGCGGTCAGGTTTTCCCTCACAATCAGAGGCAGAGAATTGTGGGACAGGTGCCCACAGGATGGTATACGATATGCTGCGTCCATAAGAGCGCACTTGATGAAGGTGACCTGTAGAGAAAATAAATTTTGATCATGGTGGTACTATTTGTTTTTGATTTTTTAAATTTTCTTTTATTTATTTTGAAAATTTCAGCATCCCAAATGCAAAGGAAATAGGGATCATTTTTTTCAAAAACAAAGCCATTCACAGAATTTTGACTTTAAAAAAAATCTGAATTTTGACTTTTAAAAAATTAAAAACTTAAAAATAAATACAACATTCTCATCATCATTATTCTAATTAAATAGATAAAGTCAACATTATCATCATTATCCTTATTATTATTCTCAAAAGAGCCCTTTGGATACTCTTACCAACTTACTAAATCCTCTTTGTAAATGATTTCACAGAACACAGAGAGCCCTCTAATTATTTGGATACTCACACAAACAAATTTTGCACCCCCGAGTTCCCCGGTTTCTTACCTGCAGGCACATATATACAGTCCCCTGGCTTGAGAGTGCTGTAAGTCCAGGGTACCTGGGTGATCTCAGGGTGCTTGAATACATTCACCATGTCCATGTCTATCTTAGAGTAGCCATGACCTGAGTGAGCTGGCTGTTGGGGGTAGAAAATATGGTGAAAACTTCAACATTGATTGATTTTGAAAATTTTATTGGAAGACAATTCTCTGTTGATGTTTTTTTTTTTTTTTTCACTTTGAAAATTTAGTCAAACTTGAAAATAGGCCTCTCGATAATTTTGAAAATTTTTGTCACCTAATAAGGCCTAGTCATGTTCAGGCATTTTAAAATATCAATTTTATTTTTAAGTTTATCCAAAATTTTCAAGTTTTATTAAACAAATTTAGTGACTTGATAAGCCTTACAAATTTCAGCTTAACTGAACAATGCAAGCATTTTTTTAAAAAATGACTGGAGGTTTATTTTCAAGTTTATCCTTATATATCAGATGTATTCCCAGTGTAAAAAATTGTTGTTTACATCCAATAAAAATGATAGATAAAATTGTGAAGGTAAACAACGTAGCAACTGAGTAAGTGTTAAATTTTTGGTTCAAAATGACACTGACCCCATGGAGGCCAAGATAAGAGACTTTTTTTGACACTCAGTAACTTTTTTTGGACACTGAACGTGAACTTACATGTTCAACCATTTCAAAAGTCTCCTTGTGTTCAGGGTGAATAAGAATGAAGTCCTTCCTCCCCGTCACTACACAGTGAAGGTTGTGGTCAGCGTGATAATGTAACATGGATGTTGTCCCACCGCTGGACATCCACAGTTCGCTCTCCTGGAGATACTTCCTGAATGTCCCGCACTGCAAACACTTTGGTAGCTGATTGGGGAAAATAGGAAATCAATTGAGTTAATGTACAAATAATGTGCAAATAATGACCTTTTCTAAAACTATTTTGGTTGTTTATAATTGAAATATTTTTATGAAACCTTGTTAATGTTCAGACTTAGTGGAAAAGTGTTTATTTGTGTTTGACATTTTTTCTTACTGAAGTCATCAGTGGTATGTGTGAAAATATTTAGACCCCATTTCCAGAGATTAGATCGATCTACTTTAGATCGACCTAACTCCCTGGGGGTTCACGCTAAATAGCTGTCAGCCGAGCGGACACCAAAATTAATTACCCTCTTACAGCTTGTAGTAGGCGGGACGGACATTTAAGCCGGATTATCTGACAGTAATCTAGTGAGACTCCCCGCAAGGATAGATCGATCTAAAAGCTCTGGGAATACAGCCTTAGATTCTAGATATCAGAAAAGTGGTTTGTAATGTTTGTCAAATTTTTTTACTTCTGACCCCTCCCCCCCCCCCACTCCAAAACAAGGCAACAAAGCTGTCAAATGTACAGACAAAAAACAGGAAATAACAAAATGGGCTACTGTCAATTCTGATGCAAAAGTACATTATGTTAAACTGCAAATTCAACATCAAATTTTAATTATGCTCAACAGGTAATACCAAATGTAAGTAAAATGTGTAACAAGCATAAGGCCTCAGGCCCATGGGCGTTCAAGTTCACACTTTGAAAATGTAGAACTTCCAGAAAAAGAAGCCAATTAGACTGCTTTTCCAACTCCGGCAGCATTTTTGTCCTGTGTTTCTTTTTTAAAAGTTTGGCAATCATAAGTAACATGGTTTCCCATAATGGTCATCATGGTAGCAGCACCCAAAATTGTGTTTTCTTCTATTCTGATGCAATATTACATAATGGTTAACAGTATATTGACCATCACTTTTAAATAATAAAAGATAAGTATCATGGATATTAAGAAAATGGGACTTCAAAGTCACAACTTGAAAATGCCAAAATGTAAACAAGACAACACTGTGCTGAAATGTTTTTTCCATTTTTAACAATTTTTAAAATAAAACAAAATTAACAGTTTACTTCCATTTTTATATGATCAACTAAAAAAATTTGTTGAGATAGGAAAAATATCAATAGAGCAGTGTTAAATGTCCAATTTCTTCCATTCTGAGATTCTGAACATAGTAAATAATTGAATCTGAATAACTGCAATGATATGAGTTTATTTCCATTTTTTAAACTTTATTACACAATACACGATAACAAGTTTACCATCATTTTTACAAAATCAACTAATGATGTTGTAAGGATGCAGAAAATGTCAAACAAACACTTTTATGTATCTTATAAATTAAATAATGAAACTGTTAACATGCCTAAGAATTGAATCTGAGGAAATGTCACAGCATAACTTCTGAAATAATAGCCCCATCATGCTGATTTTCGAACTTGACCAGCGTTTTAGTAAGATTGATTACTCCTGTGAGTTTTATGACAACAGGCTTATTGGTTTTCCTTGAAATATGTATACAGTGTTGCATATATACTTAAAAAGTGAAAAAACAGCATAACTTCTATAATAATGGCCCGATCATGCTGATTTTTCGAACTTGACCTACATTTTATGAATATTCATCAGCTCTGTAAATATAAAGCCAAAGGTAAAACTGCCCTCCACTTATCGTGTTTACAAGGAAAGTGCACGGCATTGGCAACAAGCGACGACAGACGCAGGTGATGGAAATATGTACAGACACATCTGTATCTGTACATAAAAAAAGAAATTTTTATCAGTTATTTGTTAAAATCAACTTAGATATACAGTATGTATTATCTTTTCAACAATATAGTTTTTACACTGATATAACATTTTCACTTATTACAGTATTTCATTAAAAAAGTAACCAACCACCAATTCCTGCATCATTTGCTGCGGTGCTGTGGTTGACAGGTACCAATTCTCGTACATGTAGTCGCTAAGGAACTGACTCAGTTTCATCTTTTTTGGTCCTTTTTTAAAGACTTCCTTTTTCACAGTGACTAAGACATCTAGATCTCCATATCTGAAACAAGGCATCAAATGCTGTCAAATGAATAAAATGAATTGGTGTATGTGTTTATGTGATTGTGTGTGTGTGTGTGTGTGTATGTATGTGTGTGTGTGAGAGAGAGTGAGAGAGACTGTGTATGTACCTGTGTGTGTGTGGGGGGGGGGGGTGAAAGAGAGAGAGATAAAACTGCTTCAATGACAGTAAAACAGGGAAGGGGTTAATATCCATGTAAAAACAAAGTGACTGAGATAGAAGGGGAAGTCTGAGATCAAACCATCAGCACATTTGTGCCCACTGTGAGATTTATTATTCCGTTCCCAAATTGTTTTAAACTTTCAACACTGTTGCACCTATCACGCTAGAAACATCATTCACTGTCATACCTAGTTTCACAATCAACAACAGATAGCTGTCACACCTAACACACTTGTCACAATCACGTCACAATCCACAATCACAGCCAGCACAGCCACCACACTAGTCACAATCACAGCTAACACAATCACAATCTTCACATCTAGCTAAACTATGTCAAAATTAAATATGAAAAAAATCTGACACTCGTGAGACACTTTATTGGTGTTTTGCCAAACAAACTAAAAATATTTAAGATGGTGTGTGGTCCCCATCTGTACTTGCTTGTCATTGAGATATTTGTCTTCATCATCTTGGCCCCACTTGGTCAGGGCTGGGATGTCCATAATAGCTTTACGGAAAACAACAGGCTCCCCTCTATGCACGTGCATGTCGTAGAATTCCTGAGGTGTGAGCATCATTTCTTGTTCTACTTGACCGTCAGGTGACCTTTGGTGACCTAGTTTTGAAAAGATTTTGGTAAAAAATGTTTAACTGAACAAATGTGGATTTTATCACAGACAGGACAGCCTCAGGTTGTTTACTTGAAACATGAATATGTTAATAGCAGCATGCATGAACTTGCAAATATGAGCTACTAGTATTCTACGTACAGTTTATTATTCGTGCATATACATGTGTGCTTTAGTACTAATTAATACATCATTTTCATACTCATTTTTTAAAATGGGAAACTTAATAAGCCAAAACAAAGGTACAAATACTCTCCCTGTAAACTGAGTAGTTAAATATTCACCTCAAGTTCAGTTATAATGATGAAAAATCAAATAAAGAAATCAAATACAAATTTAAGATACATATAATTTTTATAATTCATACCAACCTAAGGGTCGAAGATGCCCCTCTGGTATCCCAGACCCGTGTCTCTTCACCAGTGGAGGAAACACCACGTTCATACCCTGGTCTTTAATAAACCCAGATTTTGAGCTACAGAAAGGAATCACAGCAAGCACAATAAAACACGACTTTGTTAGTCTCATAATGTTTCCCATCCTGGGCTATGTACAGTACTGCAAGTTGCTCAAACGAGTTCCTTCTTCTCTTTCGAGTTCTCTCCGGCTTCTACGTGGCTTATTTAGCCTTGTTTAAATCGTCACGTCACAGAAGCGGACGTGGCACAGTTTGTCCAAAGAAATCCGTTTTCCATTGAGAGTTTGTTTGTGCCTAGATTAGTGAAACACAGGTTTATCTTGACAGCAATGAAATGTGCACGGTTGTGATAGCGCATGGGAACTAGGTCAACTAGAGGTCAGCTCGTGACGTCACGTTTGACCTCTGTGGATTTCCTCTTGCCGTGCAAGCTTTCAGATTTTTGACCTAGTTCATCTTTGTGCGTAGGTGGCTTGTATAAATTCCTGTCACACCCCAGTCTCCTATCTACGAACGCCGTAACATGCTTTAATACATTCCAACAGCGAATTGCAGCTGGGCGGGGTCGCTTTGGAAAATTAGGTCAAAGGTGGAAATCAACGAGGCGATTACACGGGATAGCAACTACACAACTTTGAGTGCAAAGACGGAAGGCGAGATGCAGTTGCTCTCTTGAAGATCACAAGCATACGACGACTTTCTTAGCGGGTCTTGCGACCGGAGTCTAGCCGTCTTTCACTAGATCTACCACAAGTTTGATATTTGTTCGTGGACTTCCAGATTTGAGAATAAAATGCCGATATTTGAACGTGATTCAGAACGAAAACATTTGCCCATTGGGTCGGGCCCTTACACCATCGGCTGTGTGGATTTTATGAACGATCACACCAAGGATGGGGTCCTCCTGAGGCTGTTCTATCCCACGGAACACAAGGATATAAAGGTGAGGAGTTCGCTACAGGGATTACCCCTAGTATAACGTATGCAAACATGTATTTATCTACGGGTCCGTGTCACCATGGTAATTTTTGCTTAGATACTCCTGCAATTATCTCGAAGTCAAAACGTTTGCCTGAGTTCCCCCTCTTGTACCCCGCTCCCATTGCAAACGCACGCACACAAAAAAACACTAGAGCCTGCTCATTTGCACTAAGATGTAATTTACTTGTGCTTTTACAGTGCTGTAAATGACAATTTTTCATTGTATTTATTTTTGTATGTACAAAATAGTTAGAATATGACTTTTTATGAAACCTTTGAAGTCTCTGCACTCTGAGAACTCAGATCTCTATAATAAAGGCTCAGCAGTATAAATTTAATAGGATACTGATAAGATGTCTTGAGCTAAGTTGTTATATATATCCTGTTTTGCCAGTTATGTTATGTTATGTTATGCCAATTTTACCCTAGCTAAAAAATATCCCCTAGCTGAAAAGTGTATCAAAGTTTATGAAGAACTTTTCGAGGTTTCCAATGAGGCACCTGCAAACAAACAGAGAAGAAAACATACTCCAGTAATCTATTTTTGAGCCAATATTATGGCAATTTTCTCTCAGTAACACTAATTCTGTTAAACTAGTACTGCACTAGCTATGCTAGCTTCACCTGCGCCACACAATCAGAATAATATTGTTCCTCAAATAAGCCAAAGAACAAAATACGGTAGACCACCAAACAACAATCATAAACTACAGTTAGGAACTGCGTGCCTCAGTGTATATTGTTGGAGTGCAGCTGAGCGTGTTTTATGAAAGGAGTGTTATGCAGCATTGTTTACCTGAAGTTAGGGGAGGTTGGGGGAAATTGACCTGTGTATTTGATGAACTTGGGTTTATGCAGTTTGTTCTTAAGACATCAAGGTTACCATCTGTATGGAAAAAAACATGTCCAGTATCTAGGCCATGGAGTACGTAGTACCAACTTCGTGGTTATAATAATGAGCAAAGTCAAGGTTTCCATCTTCATAGGGAAAAAAGTCCAACACTTAGGGATTTATAGGAAATTAAGTGTTGTGCCAAAATCTTCAGCTTTGTAGGAATTAATGGAGTCCATATCCAAGGTATCCATACCAGATTACTTCTTACAAAACTTAATTATTATTTCTCAAACCAGACACCATAAGACACCAGAATCCATAAGAAAATATAGCTTTTCATGAATAATTATGATTTTATTCACACCTTTATTTGGAGAAATTGTAAAGCACCACGTAACAAGATATTGAAGCCTAGTAGTCACAATATCATTGACACTCAGCTATGTATTTTTTTTTTTTTTTAGTTCAGTATAACCCCAAAATTTTAAAAAAGAAATACAAAACAAAAACCACACACACAAACAAAAAACAACAACAACAATAATATCACACAAAGCCCACTTGTAATCCAACCAAACGTGGCGTGCACAGTGTCTTTGACAGTGAAGGTATCACACATATTTCACCTACTGATGATAGTGTTTTAAGTGTTACAATCACAGTGCAGCATAGATAACATTCCAGACTGATGGCTATAGCCACGGAGCTGCCATACTTAACACACGGTACAGTAGTGCTCTCTTGTACCATGAAATATCTATCTGCAGTAAGGAAGATAAAACCATGTCTGGTTTATTTTTACTGATGTCACAGAAATTAGGAAAGTAAACAGTTCGTAGCAGTCCATCTGACAGATTGATTTACAGGTTGTTGTCTGTTTTTGACAAAAGGAAAAATGATAGACCTGTTCACTTGACAATATGAATCCTGAACTTTTTTTGATCTTGGCTGATTTTTCAACTTCTCGACTGACATATGCCAACAAAATGTTTAAGATATATTTTAGCGTTTTAACATTAAAATACAAGAAAAAAATAATTCCATTTTAATTGGCAACTAAAGCAGCATTTCACCACATGCTCATGAGTCATAACCATTCCAAATAACAATAATAATTATCACTATTATGATAAAACATACAAATTGTCTTACAGTACGAAGTTTACAAAATATAGTATAAAATAGAAACAAGATAAATAAAAAAAAAAACAGAAAACCTACACCAAACACCTTCACTTTCACCACTACAAGTGGGAGTATCTATCTCTATGTCCTGAATAAGTGCACCATTATATCATTTTGTCACAATCTGTATCTATTTTTGTATCCTTTTCCTGTCTACTGTGGACCACCCATATGTAATGAGTTGGGGTTTTTGTAGATAAAGTAGGTGTAGGAAATGATGTAGCAATAAACTGTCCCTATCATCTCTGTTCTGCAAATATGCTTTTGGATGAAATGACTCTGTTTTAAACAGCCCAGTATAATGTAATTAAGTTTGCCTAATTTACATCAGATATGTATTACTGTTACGCAGCTGTGCAGTTAGCCAAGATAAAAGGCAGTAAAAAAAAAAGAACAATGCAGAAGTAAAAAAAAATAAAGATGAAAATAAGATTTAAAAAAATGTATCCAGAATAAAAATTAAACAAATGGTAATATTTTTTAGTAATTCATAAGCAAGAACTTTGAAGTAAAGGGGCTATTATATGTATATAATTTATATTATAAATTGTTTGATTAATGAATTACTAGTAGCTATTTAACTCTGATGTTTTATGTAACGGGATACCAAAAGCAAAATTTCATCTTTAGTTTAAAAAAAAAAATCTTTGTTTTTCAGAAATGCCAAATGCAATGGCCACTTTGGTTGCCACGCAAACAGTATGGGAAAGGCTATTGTTATTTCAGGAGGAAAAACACCAAAGTTTTTGGGAGGTTGTTTAATTGGATAGGAGGTGAGTAATAACAGTTACAAAAAACTCATTAACTTTAACAGATTCTTGATGTGAAAAAGGGAGGTTTCATTAAGTGTTACATACATATATATCAGGGCCGTAGCCTGAGCAAAATGCCAGGGGGGGCAGTAAGCGGACACAAGGGGGCGAAGCCCCCGAGGAGGGAGGGTGTGGGAGGGGGTGTGGAAATTTTTTTAGAACTGTATGTATAATACTGCATTCTGGTGCATTTTAACTGTTATTTTTTGCTCAATCAGAAGTCAGAAATTGTGGGTTCATTTTGCCATAAGTACAGTCATTTTTTCAACACAACACGCCAATTGGACTTCATTTCTTAGATTGTCTCAGGATCAGAAATAACGTTTCTTCCTCTGTGGACAAGCAAGAGAGCCAATCCGCTAAGTACACACAAGTAAACAGAACACCTTTGTAAACAGATTGTTGAATGATTGTCTAGTGGCCATGAGTGCATTTTCTCACAGAATTGATACCAACTTTGCAAATTTTTTTTTTTTTACCTTTGCGATTATTTTTTGGCATCTCAAATCCCAGGGGGGGCAGCTGCCCCCCCCTCCTCCCCCCTCTCCCCCCTCCCCTCTCCCCCAGAGGCTACGCCCCTGTATATATAAGAAGTAATTTAGAGATCTGGAATAATTGCTCAAGATTTCAGACCTTCAAAACAAAACTGCATTTTGTGATTTGGAGCCACAATTTAATAATCCAATTCTATCACTAACTTGTGAATCAAAGTCACAAGCAGTTTTCATTTATTAGGCCTGTTAATTGTTTCCTTTTTCATCTTGTATTTATTATACTACTACCATATGTTGAAATACAAAAGGTAGAATACTAGTAAACAGATTTGGCTTGGGCAATGTTTTGCAGCTGAAGTATGCAGTGTTCTACTAGTTCATTAACTTAGTATTAACAGCACACAATTGAAGTTCTGTGTCAAGTTGATGTTTTTCAAGGAATAAACTGCCTATAAAACTCATCAATTGAACATACATCACGGATAGTGTACATACCAATGCTAGTTAAAAGATCAAGGTTTATCTGTTTGAGGAAACACTTTCGACCCCCTTCTTTGGGTGGTGCATGTTAAACTTGAAGGTAAAAACTTTAAATTGCTGCAATCACGCACCTTGAATACAAATTAATGAAGGTTATCCAGGTGTATATAAACTTGGTACAGAGATTAAAGGAAAAGGGTTTGTTGTTTTAAAATTAATGTGCTTTTCCTCACATTTCGAGTAAGCTAACAAAAATGTAGCAATAACATGCTAGCTGTAAAACATGACAAGGACTTTGATGAAGGTTCTCCTTCTTATTTATTTATTTATTTATTTATTTTCAAAATAGTGAGTTGTAAATTTCTGAGTTGTCAAGGATTTGAATGATCTAATGAAATACTTCTGAACGAAATTACTCTATATTTCCTTTTAAGCCATGACTTTCTCAAAAAAGATGGGCTCAAGATCTTGAATAAACGTACTTGACAATTGTGTGTCATGCATATTTTTATTATTATACTTTGGGGGGAAAACATCTGCATAATAGATTAATTGTTTAAAAAGTAGTATGTCTGCATCATATTATTTCAACATTCCACGGAGTCAGAGTATATATTTGGTGGCAGGGTCAGACAAGCATTTTGTTGTATGACGAATGATTTGTAACACACAACATTCTATTAAAATTACATACCATACCAGTACAGCAGATATCATTTAAAGGCAGCCTGACACATAAAATGACTTCCATGCCATCATCACCTGTGAAGGCTTACTGCATGACTCTTAATAATAGGTTTAAGTATTATGTCATATCTTATATATTACCAGTGTGAATGGCCATTACATATGCTATTCAACATATTTCATGTGGAAAACTTAAATTTTTCTGCAGCCTTACGTGAAATTATTATTACAACCTAGCTATACAAAGCGACTCATCATATACCATAATTCCTCAATCTTTTCAATGGAATAAATTGATAAATTTACAGATGCTGTATTTCAAAGCATAAAGTCTCAAGATTGCTGTTGGAGACAACTAAACCGAAAAACAGGCTACATTTGTACCTTATAGTTCTTTTTATGTACAGACACAGATGTGTCTGTACATATAGCCATCATCTGCGTCTGTCGTCGCCGTCGTCGCTGTCGCCGTCGTCGCCGTCGCCGTGCACTTTTACCGATAACACGATAAGTGGAAAACCATTTTGCCTTTTGATTTGAAACTTACAGTACCGATGAATATTCATAATACGCAGGTCGAGTTCGAAAATCAGCATGATCGGGTCACTTATAGGGAATTTATGCTGTTTTTTCACTTTTTTCAGCATATATGCAGCACCGATAACACGATAAGTGGAAAACCA